AGTAAATCCTCTGCTTTCTTTATGTAGTCTTCTGTGTCCAGGATTACTGTTGTTCTTCCTTTATCAGCCGGTAGAATAACTATATCTTTTCTATTCTTTAGTTTCTTCAATGCATTTTGTTCTTCAGTGCTAAGTTGGGAATTATGTCTTTTCTGTTTGAGTAAAGGTATGATACGTTGACGTATTTCTTGTTGTACTTCTTCATTTAATTTTGATAATTTGAATGATGATTCTAATGAAGCACAAAAATCTGTTACTGAAGCGTCACCAGTATTGTAGTTGAGTCCTTTCTGAAGAAGTTGTTCTTCGGCTTTCGATAATGGCTGTTTCGATAGATTTACTACGCAATCGTTTAGAGTTTCTTCAGATGGTTGTTTGGATATCTTAGCTAGTTTGTCTCTGAGGAAGGCTCGTCTTCGCTCCTTGTGCCGTTCGCTTATCAATTTAATGGCAGTATTTAATGTTGACAGATGTTCTGGGGTAAGAGTATGTTCAAGCTTCTCTTTCTGAAATCTAATCATATGCTGATATTTTTTAATCCTATTGTGTGCATCCGTGATATATATATACGTCTTCATCAACCTGAAACCATTGGTGGATGGTGGCTAGCAGTGGAATCCAGGATGCGCATTTCGTCCTATTTGGGACTCGTCAGCTGGATGTACCTGCATTTCTCAGTGAGTGATGATGTTCCCACTGAGGCTCGAACCCAGTACCCATAGTTTCAAACGCCAGAGCGTTATCCACTAGACCACTTGGGCCACGAGAGCCACCTCTTGAGCAACGGGTCATATTAATTATTGAATTGAATTCTTGATTTTCCCGTCGATTGATTGGACCGAAGTGCTCGGTCTCAGGTTGACATGTCGTCTTCTTGTGCAGATGCTTCGACGATGTCTGGGGATTTGATTTGTATAAAATTGGTGGATGGTGGCTAGCAGTGGAATCCAGGATGCGCATTTCGTCCTATTTGGGACTCGTCAGCTGGATGTACCTGCATTTCTCAGTGAGTGATGAGACCGAGCATTTCGGCCCAATCAATCGACGGGAAAATCAAGAATTCAATTCAATAACCTGAAACCAGTTTGTTAATCTTCTGCACTAACTCAGCACAAGTAACAAGATTCACATTTTCAACATCAGCGTCAAATCGGTCTTTCTATTCATCAGGATGGAAACTTTCATTGCGTGTCACGAAAAGGATTTCTAACAGGATACTGTCGACTTTTATCAACAGCTAACCACTTCATTGCCCGATTCCAAACTGAAGATCAAATAACGAGAAAGAATAAGTAACAAGAAGCTTTGGTGGGGAACAAACCAACTGGCGAGAACCGATTGCTGAAAAAATATGTATGATAAAATGGAGATGAATGGATTGGACATACACTTAGGAGTTGGCTTAATGACATCGCCCACAATGCATGCCATCACTCGAGTGGAATACAAAGAAGAAGCGACTAGTAGGTCATCGGTGCGAGGGTGACATAGAGGAGATTGTGTGAGTTGGGGTTGGAGATGCGAGATTACGGGCAATCGTGTGGCTAGCCAGCTGAAGTGGACGTCAGCAAACAGAAGTAGATGGAGATGTGTTGTTGCAGCCCTATGTTCCACTCGGAATGCATGGAAATAATAATAATAATAACCGATGCAGTATTAACAACTGAATGACAAGGTTTCCAGCATAGATTATTCCTGTGTCACAATCCGAGACATGATGCAGGATTCTCAGTGAGGCTAAAATCAAGGTGGCATTTGAACCAACCAACCGACAGAGTTTCTCAGAGTTGACTTTTTATTTTGGTTTAAGGACTCGTTAAATTCAATTAAGAAGCATGAATTAATTTACTAAGTACCATTGTAACAACAGAAGACAAGGGCCAGGCAACAGATGGTTTTATTATGAAAATCAACACGTATTTTATATATATTTCACATACATTATTATGGCTTATGCAAGTAGACAAGCGCAGTCATCTGATTGGTTGTTTATCAGAAGTTAGGCAGACAAACGCAGGCTTCTGATTGGTTGTTTCGGGAATCCTCGACAAATAGAGTTCTCTATCTGCGAATCATATTTTGCCACGTTAACTTTGCTGTGATTGGTTGTTGAATCAGCCTTGCTCATATTTTCTCACGGCCTGCTCTCACCACACCATGTAATGATTGTTCATAAGGAGAATTACATCGGTCAGTTAAACTAGTGAATCGGGAAATGTAGATAGACCTAGAATGTTTGACCCTGTTCAATTAAATAACTTAGAAAACACAGGATAGCGATTGCATTGCATTCACTTGCATATAGTCGCAAAATACGGTGGTCAGGATAGGCTGAGTGTATTAAAAAGTAATGTTGTTAGGTGGAGGGACAGGAAGATAAATCCCTGAAGCTTTGTTTATCTATTCAATACCTCATATGTTCAGTCAAAATGACACAACGACTATACTGAAGATATGGAAAGTGGCAACAAATAACAAGGAGAAGTTGGAAAGAGAGAGGAAGACGGGATATGCATATATAAGACGAATTGTGAGGTCGTGTGACTTAGCTGATATGATTATGAGCAGCAACAATTTATGGTTAAAGCCTTGTCATCCAATTGTTCATAATGCATCATCATTGTGTGATAAACTTCATGTGTTTATTCCCCTTGATGAATTTGAAGAAAGCAAGAACAACAGTGGTGGTTTGTGCAGAATAACATGGTACCATCATTGTTTATTTCGTTGGCTTCTCATCAGCGGCTGCTTACAGCTTAAATAAATTATTATTAAGTTTATGTACAGAAACGTTTTAACATACTTGCAAATTTTACATAATGTCAGTTGACAGAAGGCTCCGAAATTAGTGAACAGTTATTACACAGACAGTTCAAGTTTAAACGAAATAGATGTGTGCCTGCAGTGATGAAGAATTGACGTAACAAAGACGAGAGATGCGTAAGATGCTGAACATGTTGTGAAAGCCTACGTCTCAAGGGTACAAGCTTTTATAATAGCTCTCTTACCAGACATCTCCTCGATACGTGTCATGAGGTGGAAATCGCAAAATCCTCTAAAATGATCAATAGACAAAGGAGCTCAATTCTCCTCAAGTTTGCCGAGCACAATTTCTATCAAACGTTTGAAACCTGATTTATGTGTTCAGAAAGAAGCAGTTATTAGTTCTTTCTTGCCTCACCGGATAACTGGACATCTTTGTTCTCTCTTTCATTTGATTGCGTAATCTTTGGCTATAAACCTCACCTCCCTTTGATATAGTGTAAGTTTGCTTGTCTCTTGTTTCTGTACATAAACCTCATCATTTATTTGGGCTGTAAGTAACAGCTGATGAGAAGCCAACGAAATAAACAGTGATGATATCATATTATTCTGCACAAACCACACTGTTGTTCTCGCTTCAATGAAATAAAATTACCAAATATGGAATTGAGCAACACTGCTTTTATTTGTGCAATTTTATTACACAAACTTAAATTGTACACAGAAAAAAGAGACATCGTTTTTTTCTATCACACAATATGATGCTGTTTTGGAGTGTTGAAGGTTGGTTGACTTATAATTTATTGCATAACTCCGTTTTTATATTAAACAATAATCTACGGGGTTGTAGTGTAATGCAAATGGACTGGAAATAAACCAACAAATGTCGATTTTATTGCTTTGATGCATATGTCGTTAACCCCGGCAGCCTTGTTTTACTCCCGTTTTCACTTCGAGTGCCTCATTGGGGTTTTCTCTGTGGGCCACCTGATGTGTGGAATTGTCAGTTACCCGTTGAATGAGAGTGATAAATATTTTGAACACTCTGTAATGTACTTTCCAAATAGCTTCGCCGTCAGGGCTTTCTACGAACTCGACAAAGTTTTAGGCTGCGATTTGACTGACAAAAAATTTTCCTATATTTTACCCAAAAAGTTTGAATAAACTGGTACTTTCAAAAAAGTACGACGAAATGAGATAGCATCATCTGAGATGAGTTCATAATAGAAGACTCCAATGTTTTCAACTGTTCTTGTAGAAGTATCGGACAGATTTCTCGTCTCAGCTTGTCACTCTTCGCCAGTACACACCTACCAGCGCTCAAACCTGGGACTATCCAGTTACAAGGAGAACTTCTGAGACACAATCCAATGTTCTATCAATTCCATTTTCTCCAAATTCATTATCTGTGGAGCGTAGATGTGCACTAATATTCACTACTAAACTAAGACGGATCAGCTATCGAGTACTCCCTTGTTTTCCAGTGGTTCTTTGGCTGATGTCAGCTCGTAATCAAATCTATAACAGAGCTATATGTTCTTTAGTCTGTTTCAGATTGATTCTATTTAAACAAATTCCAGAAAAATGAACTGAGCAATTGTTCTCATTCTTTGTATGAGTATAATTTTGAAATAAATAAAATAAATGAATCGTCTTAGGATACATATATACATATATTTATATTGACGCGTCGGTATTTCAGTGGTACAGTACTCGCCAACCATGTCTGACGTGGCCCAGGGTTCGACTTCCAGCCGATAGCATAGACTCAAACCTCATTCAGCCATCAATAAGCGTGGTAAACTGGGAAGATGCTAGCAACCTCCCTCCATAGCAATATAGCCTCACCACTTCTGGAATGTCAAAGGTCAAGCTTAAAGGCATGTTTTCCACTCCAAAACATAATGGAATAAAATAGTAGAAAACAATAATTTTTTTTATTCCTTTACGTCCCCCAGTGGAACATTAGGCTTCAAGCTAGAAGATTGAAGTTTCTGTAGCAGTGATGATCATTTTTACAGGATACAGTTGCTAGCCTCATCTGGTACAACCTTTCCTTTCTACCAGTCTCTAGTTACTGTTTTAGCGAGGTAAAGAAGTGAGTGTATCGGCTGGGGGGGGATTGAATCCCGGACCGAATGAGGCGTGGTGGGTGGACATTCTACTGCTGTGCCACCGACGCTGAAAACAACAATAAAAATAGATAAAAATAATCATGAAGTTCTCTGGCAACTCACTTGCTGTATAGCCCATGGCATGACTAGGATAGATGTGCCCATCATTGTATTCCATATTGAAAAACTAAAAACGATAATAGAATAATAACAGACAAATACTGAAAGGCTTTTCAATACATGTACTGATAAAGTCAAAAATGTCAAGTTATCAGGCTAATATTTCTGTGTGTACGTGTGTGTAATATGTGTGCTCCGGATATTAGTTAACGTTAAATATAAATATATGAATACGCGTCGGTGGCACAGTGGTTAGGACTCTCGCTGACCACGGTTCACATGGTCCGGGGTTCGAGCCCGCGCCGACGCACACCTGATATCTATGGTCGGCCTGCAAAATTTGGGCCACCGATATCCATGCTGAAAATTCCATACTTATACCAAAAATACAGTGTGAAATCAAGCTGTAAATTAAAAATATTTTTAAAAAAATGGTTGCGAATTACATCATTCCATCAAGAGCTTGATTTCCCCCCTCCACAAACACACACACAAAGAACACGCACACCATGTACCAAAAAATGCTTTAGGTCTTCATATATTTTATTTATATCTATGAAATACTGTGAAGAATACGTTTCATCACTGATAAAAGTTACCTTCACTCGACACTCTAAATCAAGTGGTGACTGGGTAGAAACTATAAAAGGCATGGAACTACTATGGCACAGAAGCAACCAACACACCAGTGTCCAACAAATATTCAGAAAAAAATGGAGGTGACCTGGATATATCCTGAGGATATTGTTGAGTGATACCACACTCCAAATTGTTGGGTGGAATCCTAAAGCGAAGTGACCAAGTTGAAGTATAGTGATCGAGGTTTATGGATGAAGCAATGATCTTGGAAGCATAGTAGTCGTTAGATAATGGAACCTACTATTGTTATAGCGCCTCTATGAAATAAGCGAAATGGAAGTTCTATCCCGATTTCATTTTAAAGCACTATTTTGGTGTTTACAACAGACAACAATCAGCATATATGAGAGAAATCTGATAGAAACAACCTCCTTTAACTACCTAACTACCTATCTACCTGGGAAGCATCGCTTCAAAGACAGGCGAACGGAATTGATAAAGATATCGAAGCAGCGAGGATAGGAAAAACAAGGCAAGCTTTCATAACTCTCAAATCTATGTGAAGATCAACAGCACTAAGCATGAAGATGAAAATAAGATTCGGATTTCTAACCCCAGTGTGAAGTCAGTGCTACTTACTATATGGATCAGAGACTTAGCGCAGCGCCAGATGACGAAGGTCACTTCAAACAAACTACAGACCTTCATCAACTGCTATCTTCGGATAGTACTACTCAAGATCAGATAGCCGGCCAGAAACGATCAGCGCTAGTGAGGAGTCTCTGGCAGTGAACGAACCAACCTAGCAGAAACCGATTGTGCTAGAAATCTGCAGGAAGGAATGAAGGTGGATTGGCCATTCTCTGAGAAAACAAACCACCATCAAGTGACATCCCATGCCAGGCCATGGTTCAAGTGGAACCCGAACTGAAAGCGGCAAGCTGGTGGTCAGTGCGCGGGTGACTTGGAGGAAATCATTAGAAGAGGCTATGAAAGCGATGTGGGTAGACGTGAAGCCAGGTGAAAAAATTGATACAGAACCAAAGGCAATGGCGATATGTGGCTAAAACCCTATGTTCCGCTAGGAACTGAAAGAAACAATAATAATATTAATTTTGTCGCATCGACAAATAGAACTCAGCTTCAGTTTCCTAAATGAATACATCTAAGGTAACTACTCAAACCTCAAAACTGATACCTCTCATCATAATTGGAAGACATTTTTAGGTCACATCGGGCAAAATTATCCTGTATTATTTACTTTAACATTAGTCTCTATATTTCTCCTTTAAATAAATGTCATGTTGAAGTAAAAGACATCTGGTTTCTCAGATTGGTTACCTCAAGATCAGTTCTGCATTCTCATTTAATGGATCAATATAGTTGAACTTTGATTGGACATTAGTATGAGATGGTAGTCACTAGCTAGCATCAGGTTTATTTTCATGGGTTTTTCTGTTGAGATTTGACTGAATTCAGTATGGTAATTAATGGAGTTTAAAGGGGATTATAAATTTTAACTTGATCTTAAATTCTGAATGTATACTGAGAAATAAATAATGGACTAAGGTTCACACGTCGTTCTACATTCGTCCTTCCAAAAATGTGTTAAAAGACACTACTCAGTGTGGCCACAAAAAGACGACACGGTGTAAATTCAGAAGTGCTAGACTTGTACATCTAGTCAGTATCTGTCACAGCATTTCAGAAGACTCATCATTCAGAGTTGTTGATAAAAAATAAACAAATTTTACTTCTACAGAAACCCACTACATATACATTGAAAAGTTTGAGTTATATTCCCTGAATCTATTTCAACCTCTGTACTTCCCATGGATGTAGTCATGTATGACTCTTGAATTGTGTCATTTAGAAAAATGAAATAAATAAAATACTAAGTCGCATCATCTTGGAGAGAATAAATAAAGACAGAACTCCACCATCCACCGGAATAAGCTGGATTCAGGAAGGCTAAATCATGTGCAATCAAATTGCAACTCTACCTATCGTCATCATTGGAAGAAAGCATAGAATGGCAGTCGAAGCTCTCTCTCTCTCTCACTCTTTGCCTCAACTTCATCGACTTCGAAAAGGCCTTCGACAGACAGCGTCGACCGAGAAGTAATTCAGATACCACCATTTCAACACTATGGCGTACAGCGCTCAAGTCTTTGTTAACCTAATTCAACAACTGGCTATATTGGCAATGCCAAGTGTCAAGTGATCAACAACGCAAAACTCAGTGAAGCATTCGAAGTACATACAGGAGTGAGACAAGCTGGCTGCCTATTATATATATATCAGATTGTGGAGCTTGATTATAAATTCATTGAAAAGAATATATTCGCTGATTTTTTATTCAAAAACCAGTTAACCATCTAATTCTTTCAAAAGCATTTTTCTATATGTCATTTGAATAAAAACAAAATATCTGTGAATGATTAAAAATTAAGCATCTCAGAAGAATGAAAAAGCCAAAACAAGGTTAAAGTCAATTAGTTTGCATAAGTGGTTATAATAATGATATGTAAAAATTTATGTGAGAAGTGTGTGTACTCTTAGATTTATGTCCACTTAACGAAGTTAATTGTACACTTGAAATGATAATTATAATATTTTTGAATGTGTTTTTCTGTTTTTCTGATGATGGTTTCTAACTTGATAATTGAATATGTTCTCGTTTATTTTATTTACTAATGATATATATATCTTTATATCAGGCAAACAGGTCTCTCTTCATCCGAGAAAGGATCAAGCCAGATGATGAAACCAATAAAAGATGTTTCAAGAGAAGCTGGTTACCAAGAAAGGAGGAGAAATAAGCAAAACAGTAACTAGGCTAATCACTTTTCAAAAAACACTTGAATCGACTATCACTAGAAAGTCGTCCAGAAATACCATCACTACTACTCACAGCACACACACAGAACTGCCTGCCAGTGGATATCAGATGGAATTTTGCCCCCTCCCTCCCCTCCCCTCTCCTTATAAATTTACTCATATCAACGGTAAATTCAGTGAAGTGGTCATTAAGTAACAAGAAACAATGAATACTTTATTATTATTATTATTATTGTATCCTTTAGTTCCTAGAGGAAAATAGGGCTTCAGCTGAGCACCTCCATTGCCTTCGGTTTTCTGACAACTTTTTCACCCTGCTCCAGGTCTGTCCACATGCTTTCATCTCCTCTTCACACGACCTCCTCCAAGTCACCCTTGCACTGACGACCAACTCGCCGCCTCCCTTTCGGGTTCCACTCGAGCTATGGCTTGTCTAGTGATGTCACTTGATGGTTTCCTCAGCGTATGGCCAATCCATCTCCATTTCTTCCTGCCTATTTCTTTCACAATCGGTTCCTGATTGGTTCGCTCACTCCCAGAGATCCCTGTTGCTGATCATTTCTGGCCATCTGATCTTGAGTATTGAGCGGAGACAGTTGTTAATGAAGGTTTGAAGTTTGTTTGAGATGCTCTTTATGACTCGCCAAGTCTCTGATCCGTATAGTAGCACTGACTGACTTTACATTGGAGTTGAAAATCCGGATCTTATTTTTGATGCTGAGTGCTGTTGACCTCTTCCACACAGATTTGAGAGTAATGAAAGCTTGCCTTGCTTTTCCAATTCTGGCTTTGATGTCCTCGTCAGTTCTGTCGGCCTGTAGTTGAAACGATGCTCCTCGGGTAGGTAGGCGAAGGAGGTTGTTTCTTTCAGGTCCCTCCCATTTATACTGGTTGATGTCTGTTGTTGTTGTTGCTGTTGATGTTGGCTAGGAATCTTCATCATCTCTGTTTTATCTATGTTCACCTGAAGTCCTATCTTCTCTGGATGCTTCTTCTGCCAACTTGTTACTTTCCACTTGCATATCTTCCAGTTTGTGGGAAATCAGATTTTAGGAGTCTTTAAAAACAGAACGATCCACCAAAGGTCTCCTCAGGATTTGAACCCAGAACCTTCATTTTATCAGGCTAGTTTGTTAAGTATTTATTAATAAGTCCTTTATTCCAATACCTGATCCCTACTGTCATGGATGCTATTCCTGATAGTGGTGGACTAGTTCATGTGTCGGACCGTGGAGTACTAGAAGACAGGAATACGTTAGACTGATAGAAGATCTCTAGAAAATCTGGATTCCTAGGATAATTTATTTCCAGTGTCATGTGAACTCAAAAAAAATCTGCAATAGGGAACCAACAGATTGTCTGTCTGTCTGTCTGGATTCATCATATAACTTGGCACCGAAGTGCAGCAGTTCGAGTTGCCACGTTCCAAATAGCACACAAAGGTAGACAAGAAGATGAGTAAAGAGAATCAATAGAGTTTGACAAGTATAAGAGTGAAACAGAATGGGTAATGGTAGAAAGGAATATGAAAGATTACAGAGACTGAATACATCTGCGCTGGCCATTGACAACGATTTTGAGCCATGTCACCTATTGTCTGCAGCCATTGATTCCTAGAGTCCCGAGGGCCCCAACCCGGGAGTCTGC